AGAGAGAGAGAGACAGAGAGAGAGAGAGAGAGAGTCACAACACGGCAAAACATTACAGCACAAGATTCTAAATTAAGTAACAAAAAAACAACTTTAACAGAAACAGGAACTTCAAGCAAAATCAACTGAAAAATGTTTTTTTTTACGTTTTTTTTTTTTAATTGAACATACGACAAAAAGTACGAAAAAATGAAAAACAAATGCAAAATCAAGTCAATTATAAAAATGCTTTTAAAAAGGGAAAATCTTTATATTATTAAAACAACCAAAAACAAGGCAAAAACTGAAAAACTGAAAACTACTATAAACGAAGCAAACTCAAAAAAATAACTACGAAAAATTTTAGAAAAATACACAGGAAACTACTGAAAGCTAAATCAAGTCAAATAAAAATATGCACTTATAAAAGAAACTTTACTTCAATAAACCCAAAACAAGCCAATAATAAAAAATGACTAAACGTTAGAAAAAATCAACTGAAAACACATCTTTTAAAAAGGATACTACTACAATCAAAAACTAGGCAATTTTATATATTTACTTAAAAGACAAAAAAGGAAACTACTATAAGCAGAAAAGCAAATTAAAAAATCGTTTATGAACAAAAGCAAAATCAAGTAAAAAATGCATTAAAAAGAGGGAAACTACTACTACTACAATCATTAAAAAAAACATAAAAATTAAATACTAAACAAAAAACACAAACAAACAAACTATAAAATGTCAAGTCAAAATGTGCATTTGAAAAAAAAAATAGAAACTACAAACCAAAAACCAAATGAACTAATATAAGCAAAAAAGAAAAATGACTACTACTACAATCAAACCCAAACCAGTTCTTGTGAGTGCTGCACCAAAACACACCGGGCTGCTATTACACCTCATCTTCTTGAGCATGATTGCATTTTGATTTTATTATTGGTTTGTCTCAGTAGCTGTTATGTATATATATTCAGCATGAGCATGTCAAGAACACAGGCCTGAAGCGCTGGAGTTTAGTGGATGGTCATGTGACCGTCACAGAAACTCAAATGCTCTCATACACACACCACGTTGCTCTGTATTTGTGGTGAAATCATCCAAACCCACTTTAACTGGTGTTAGTTGGGCTTTGTGCACGGTCATGCAGACACTTACTGCCCCCTCAGGTAGGAGCGTGTAATTACAGCGGCATTCGGTTTCCCTCGATGCTGATTTTCATGGCTCCCTGCGGCCGCCGCTGCTTCCTCTGCTCCGCAAAACGCCGCTTGTGTTTCTCCAGCAGGCTGACGCCCTTCCTAAAGCTCCTCTACCAATCACACAACAGTAAAATCTCCTCCACCAATCAGCTTACGAGGAGAAAAACCTAAGCATCATTGATTCTCTCGATCCTGCCTCACGCTTCCTGTGCAGACTCCTCCCACTCTTTAGTTGAGCATGAGACACTTGTCAATCATTCCTCTAGAGTTAAGCCCCGCCCACACACATGCCCCGCCCACTCACTCTGTTTGAGTCCACATCCACGTTCCACTTGGGTCGAACCACGTAATCCTTATTGGAGGGCATGGGCACACGAGCTCGAGCACAGAAACCCGGGTCACCCGGCCGCAACGCCCTGATAACAGAAATATTAGATCATATAATCCAAACTAAACATGTGCGTGTCACGGTTTGCATTGCAATGGTATTTTTTTTTAATAGAACGTTTGAAAGAACAGCATTTATTTGAAATAGAAATGTTTGTAACATTATAAATGTTTTTACTGTCACTTTTAATCAGTTTAATGCATCCTCGCTGAATAAAAGTGTTCATTTCTTTAAAAAAAAAAAAAAAAAAAGTAAATAATGAATTACACAATTTATATAATGCATTTTAAAATTATAATATACTAGATTTCCTTACAATAATAAATATTAAGTGATCATTTTCATTAATTAGCATTCATAAAGATGCATTATATAATTTGTGTAATCATATTTTTAAGTTATAATATAATAAACACATTTCATAGTAATAAATAATAAAATATTACAATAAAATAATATATTAATATTAATATATGATAGAATATTAAAATATATATATATATAAAATTATAATTCATAAATCATCGATTTTTAAAATAATAAATTATACTATTATAATACACGTTTTATAAAAATTCAATAAAAATATTTAAAATAATATATTAAAATATTAAATGATAATAATTTCCATTCATTAGGATTAACAAAACAAATGTTTATAATATACATTCATATAAACATTATATAATACATTTTTAAATTATAATAAGTATGTTTTAGGATAAAATATTAAATTATAATCATAAATTATAATTAAATTATAATAAAAATATTGTATAATTTATTTTGTAATTCATTATAATTTTGTATCTATAATTAATTATAATAAAATAATTTATATTAAATTATGATAACTTTCAATTAGCATTAATAAAAATATTGAATAATTAATTACACAATTCTATAATACATTTTGAAATTACAATAATAAATACATTTAATTATAATAAAATATTAAATTATAATTAATAACAAATTATATACTACATTTAAATGTTATTAAAATAAATTTCAATGAACTTTATATA